TCGCCCGACGGCAACGGTACCGTGGCTAACAACTCAGATTGGGCGGTTCATATTCTCAGATCTTAGCACGGTAGTCATGACAGTATGCACTGGACGGGACACTCTACCGTGTAAGGTAAAACACCGAAAAACCGACCGATGATTTGCCAAAAATGAAGGTAAACTTTGAAACCATCATACTCATCGACAGAAGCAGCAATTCGGACGCGGAGCATACCATTGAGAAGAAGAGACATAGAGCTATTTTTTGAGATGTCAATCTCCGATTCAGTACATCATCTCTGATTTGTCTGCAATTTAAAAGACACGTGATGTAATCGATGCGAGTTTGCTTGTAACGAAAAACCGACCGATAGTTTACTTCCAATTTGTATGTAATTTAAAAAATCACGATTAAAATCAACTTCAACGAATCCATGTGTTTGTTCACGCTCCCAAGAGCGTGGCAATTAAAATGCACAAAATTAAAATGCGACGGCAAAAAAATTACTTGGTCTTATTTTTCTTGAGCGGCAGCGCGGCAGCAGTGTGCAGCTCTTCGCTCGTGTGCCATGAGGAGTCCGTAGTGACACGCTTGCGCTCACGGCGCGCCCCAGCCTTGGCGGGTATGGTCAGCTTGGTGGTCCGCGCGACTTCTTGCACCTTGATCCATTCCTCAGTGCCCAGGGTCGACCGCACGCCGTTCGTCGTCTGCTTGTTGAGGCGCAACTCCATGGCGGCGAGCGACAGCGGCCAAGCTCCGCACGTCGCGAAGCCTCGCTCAACCGCTGTCTGCTTCGGTACAAGAAGTCGCCATCCCATCACCACCCTCCCGCCATGGTCGATGAAGCGCGAAAAAAGGCGGGGAAATATTATTACGCCAATGCATTTATTCGCAAAATAATTCGTGATTTGTTGCCACTTTATTAATTTCAACATGAATAAAATCACACCCAATGAATGGCCAGCTCGTCCAACTTCTGCGGTTTGATTGGTCAAAAGTCAAAATCGGTCGGTTTTTATGATCGGTCGGTTTTTCGGTGTTTTACCTTATATTGTCGCTAACCTCGTCTGTTGTTGTTGAATTTTTTTTTGTTGTTGAAATTAACCTCGTCTGTGTCACTGAACACGGACGCGGCTAGCTGGCAAGGCTACTGCCGTGCACGGAATGCCCCACCAAGACCCCATTCTTTCATCGACACCGTCGTCAGCATGTTTGGTCTGAACACGTTTGCCTCGCTCCTCGTCGCGGCCCAGCAATGCGCAATGGCACCGCAGGCCTCGATTCACGTCGCCGAGCCCGTCAAGTTTGATTTGACATACGACGGCTCGGCGCCGCTCGCTGCGTCCATTTACAACCCCGCCAACACGTTCGTGGCCGTGCACTTTGCCAGTCTCAACGTCCCCAAGGGCGGCAAGCTCACGCTCACGTCGTTCGATGGTGTCGACAGCGTCACGTTCGCCGGCGGCGAATCTAAGACCAACTTCTTTGCCGACTGGCTCACGGCCGGCAAGGGTGGTGTCAAGATCACATACGACGGCCCGGATTTCAAGCCGGCGGCCGGGGCCGACGACAAGCCGGCGCCGATCTTCACGATCGACAAGTACATGGCGGGCAAGAAGGGCGCGGTCCTCGAGTCGCTCTGCGGCGACGACAAGTCCAAGCCGGCCCCGTGCTACGCCACGAGCGAGCCGGCCAAGACCAAGACCGGCAAGGCCGTCGCCCGCCTCTTCATTGGCGGCGAGTACCCCTGTACGGGCTGGCTCGTCGGCTCGGAGGGACATCTGCTCACCAACAATCACTGTATTGGGTCCGCCGACGCCGCCAAGAACGTCCAGGTCGAGCTTGGCGCCGAGTGCGCAACGTGCGACGACCCGCTCAACCAAGAGCCGTTCGAGTGCAAGGGTACGATCGTTGCTACTGACGTGGCGTTTGTCGCGACGGACGTTGGCGCGGACTTTACGCTCGTCAAGCTCAACCTCAAGGCCAATGTCGACTTGGCCAAATACGGCTACCTGCAGATGCGCCCGGACGGCCCCAAGCTCAATGAAGAGATTGCGATCCTCGGCCACCCCGCGGGCTGGCCCAAGCGCTTCGCGATTGTCGGCCAGAACGGCAAGCCTGGCGTCGTCACCAACACGAGCATCGAGTCGTGCCAGCCCGACGAGTTTGGCTATGAGCTCGACACGCAGGGCGGCAACTCTGGGTCGCCTGTCATCTCGACCAAGGACAGCAGCGTCGTTGGCATCCACAACTGTGGCGGTTGCCCCGATGGTCCCAACGGCGGTATCAAGATCAACAAGGTCGTCGACATCCTCAAGAAGCTCAACTCGCTCCCCAAGGACTCGATCGTCGGCGACAAGCCCGCGTGCTAAGCCGTCGACGCCTCCAATTGTCTGCGTTTGACGTTGCATGAGCCAAATACACAATGCTTTGCGCTTTCTGCTTTGCGCTTTCTGCACGAAAATAAATGAGCAGCCCGGAGGTGAATTGCGGGGAAAGGGGAAGGGGAATTCCGGGCAATTTCGCACATTTTTCCGCCATTTTCGCTCATTTTGGGCCTCGCTCATTTTTTGCTGGGCTCCGCTCATTTCTACTACTGTAGTAATCCCCAACCCTTTCTGAGCAGTGGCCAACCGATCATTCAGAAAATGGTGACCAGAGCAAGTGATTTTACGCAGTGTTGAGGTTCCATGCAGGACATTGATCGAGCTATTGGACGCAGTGCATAGCAAAACGCGACATGGACGTAGTAGCAGCTGGTCCTTGCTCAGCACAGCAGTGCGAGAGCAGATTTGGAAGCGGCCGCGTGCGCGCCAACAAATGCAATCGACATGTCCTCTTTAGTGTGAATCGTCTCGGCCAATCAGAACACCGCGATGCATTTCATTGGCGGAATCCATCTCAGATTTGAAGCATTTGGCTACCAGTACCACCCAAGGGATATAATATCTCTTGGTACCACCGAACGACGCGACGTCGCTCGACGCAAGGATCTCAGTCCACCTCCTGCGGAAGCCGTTTGGGACCATTTGATGAATCGATTGGCTCGTACAATGTTGTACAGTCTGGAGGACTTGTCGAGTCCTGCTCGTTTGAGTCGTACTGCACCAAGATCTGAGTTTGCACTTTCTGAGTTTGCACTTTCTGAGTCCGCTTTCACGACTGATTTCCCTCCAGAGTTGTCACTGCAGGCCGCTTCACACGACATGTGCTGGAGATTCTCCGGCCGACACCAGCCCCAGGTAACAAACCATATTCTGGCCCACGCTCCACAACACAGTGTGAGCAGCGCTACCCATTGCTATTTTATATCCTTCCTCAGACGCGTTGCGACGCAAAGACACCTATTATGATGGGTTCAACTCGCATTGACTTGGATACAATTGTACCGAGTCATTGGTACGACATGGGGAGAACGACGTCATATGGCTTCCGACTCAGAAATGATCTGGTTTCCACTCTCGACGTCAACTCAGATCCAAGGAAGCACAGCATTTGAACCTCACTTTTCCTTTTCCCCGCTCGCGGTCCTCTACTACCTTCCTCATGTTGGGTGCTGCCAAGTTGCTCTCTCTCTTCGCCGCTGCGGCCGTCGCGCAGCAGTGCACGGTCGTCGAGCAAGGCATCTACAAGATCGCCGAGAAGACGCCGGTGAGCGTCACCTACAACGGCGACGCTGCGTTCAGCCAGATCTTCCAGAAGGACGGCGCGACGTTCGCAGCGCCCCACTTCAAGTCGGTCAACGTGCCGGCCAACGGCAAGCTCACCATTACGTCACTCGACGGCAAGAACAGCGAGGTCTTTACCGGCGGCGAGTCGGCTACGAACGTGCGCGCGAGCTGGACCTCGGGCAAGGGCGTCGTCGTCTCGTACGAAGCGCCGTCGTACACCAAGAGCGCGGTGCCGGTCTTTGAGCTCGACGAAATTTCGTTTGGCAAGCCGACGCCGCTTATCGAGTCGATTTGCGGTAAGGACGACTCCAAGCCGGCGCCCTGCTACGCCGACGACGCTGCCAAGACCAAGTCGGGCAAGGCCGTCGCGCGTCTTCTCATTGGCGGCGATGGTCTCTGCACGGGCTGGCTCATTGGCTCGGAGGGTCACCTCATCACGAACAACCACTGCATCGGCAGCGCGGCCGACGCCGCGGACGTCCAGGTCGAGCTCGGCGCCGAGTGCAAGACGTGCGATGACCCGAACAACCAGCAGCAGCTCGCGTGCGCTGGTGAGATTGTCGCGACGAGCGCGACGTTTATTGTGACGGACACGACGGCGGACTTTGCGCTTGTCAAGCTCAACGTCAAGGACGGCGTCGACATCAAGAAGTACGGCTACCTCCAGGTGCGCCCGGACGGCCCCAAGCTCAACGAAGAGATCCACATTTTGGGTCACGCCGTCGGCTGGCCCAAGCGGTTCGCCGTCGTCGTCGACAGCGGCAAGCCCGGTGTCGTCACCAACACGAGCATCGAGTCGTGCCAGCCCGACGAGTTTGGCTACGAGCTCGACACGCAGGGCGGCAACTCGGGCTCGCCCATCTTCTCGACCAAGGACAACGTCGTCGTTGGTATTCACAACTGTGGCGGCTGCCCGGACGGCCCCAACGGCGGTATCAAGATCAACAAGGTCGTCGACATCCTCAAGGCCAAGAACTTGGTCCCCAAGGACGCGATTGCCGGCGACAAGCCTGCGTGCTAAGTGGTTGGTGCTCTATGTCCATGTGTCTTGATTTGATAAGCATTTCACAAGCCGAACTGGCTGTAATCAATAACCTTTTTCGAGGTCGACAGAAGTAATTGGCTGGTTTATAGCGTTTGGGAGCGTTTGGGGCCACAGAACACTCTACTCTGCCGCCAGTTGAAATGCGTACGAGACAATCAACGTGCAAAGTTGACACGAAGTAAACTGCGAGGCCAACAGGTTACGATCTACACAAAGCGCACTAAGGTATATAGTTCTTTTCTGCGTCAAATACACGGACTATGTAATGTACTCCAAACTAAGATCGTAGTGCCATCTGAGGCACCGCGCCAGACGGCTCACATTACGAACCCGAGAATATTCTGTTTGAAATGGCAAGTCACCCATAGTTATCTGTGCATCGCAACTGATTCGAATGGTCAACCCTACACCCTACCTAACCCTAATATCAGGGCGCTCGCTTGGCTCACACCGCGTCCACAACTTTGATCAGTCGATGCCGAGACATCCAACTCGAGCTTTTCGTATAGCCAGCCCGTGCAGAGGAAGCGGCCGCCAATGACGAGCCGCGCGACGGCCTTGCTGGCTTTGAACTTGGCGCTTTCCGACTCGGCGTTGCACATCGATGGCTTCGAGTCGTCCTTGCCGCACACCGATTCGAGCTTGGACGCGGGCTTGCCAGTGATGAAGTGGTCGATCTCATACTTCCCGTCGACTAGGGTTTTGGACCATGTGGATTTCGTGTCGAATGCGAATACATATATATGTATGTACATTGAATAGACTCCTGACGTACTGGTACCGCTGACGCTATCAAACCTGATGTTTTTTCATCTTGATCAACATTAATACATATGTTTTGTTGCATACATTCACCAACAATTATACTTTGCGTTTAAACGGTCCTAAATTTTCCTAGCACGCGGGCTTGGACGACACGACCGCATCCTTGATGACAATGTTCTGCGCCTTGAGAATGTCAAACACCTTGTTGATCTTGATGCCGGCGTTGTCGCCGTCGGGGCACCCGCCGCAGTTGTGAAGGCCAACAACAACGTTCTCGTCAGTCGAGAGGACGGGCGAGCCCGAGTTGCCGCCCTGCGTATCAAGGCGGTACGCAAACTCGTCGGCTTGGCAGCGAGACTGGAAGCTTGTGGTCGTCACAGTGCCGGGACCGTCGAGCGTCGTGACCGCAAAGCGCTTGGGCCAGCCCGCGGCGTGACCGATGATGTGGATCGTCTCGTTGAGCTTGGGGCCATCCGGGCGCACCTGGAGGTAGCCGTACTTGGTCAAATCAACACCGTCCTTGACGTTGAGCTTGACGAGCGTAAAGTCCGAGGTCGGGCTCGTGGCCAAAAAGGTCGCGCTCGTCGCGACGATCTCGCCCTTGCACGCGAGCTGCTTCTGGTTGTTCGGGTCCTCGCACGTCTTGCACTCGGCGCCAAATTCAACCTGAACGTCGTTGGCAGCGGCAGCGGTCTTGATGCAGTGGTTGTTGGTGAGCATATGGCCCTCCGAGCCGACGAGCCAGCCCGTGCAGAGCGACTGCCCGTTGATGAGAAGACGCGCCACCGCCTTGCCCGACTTGGTCTTGGCAGCATCACTCGCATAGCATGCCGCAGCCTGCGACTGGTCAGCATCGCAAAGCGCTTCGAGGGGCGACGGCGGCTTCCCAAATGCAACCTCGTCAATCTCAAACACGGGCGACGCCTGCTTGACGTACGTCGGGGCTTCGTACGCGACGACAACGCCGGCGCCACTGATCCAGTCGGCACGAATGTTCGTAGCAGACTCGCCGCCGTGGAAGACAACGCTGTCCTTGCCGTCGAGCGACGTGATGGTGAGCTTGCCGTTGGCCGGCACGTTGATTGACTTGAAGTGGGGCGCCGCGAACGTCGCGCCGGCCCGCTGGACGATCTGGCTGAATGCAGCGTCGCCGTTGGACACGACGTGCAAAGGCGTCTTGACTGCAACGTCGATCGACGCCTGGTTGCCGCACTGGGTCGCCGCGACGACGGACGCAAGAAGCGTCAAGAGCTTGGCGCCGCTGAACATTGGTGCCGTTGAGTTGAAAGAGGCGAAAGAAAAAGTGAGTGAACGGCGCGAGACCGAAGCTCCATTGTGGGTGTCAACTCAGATCGCGCGCAGGCCCTTTCCAGTGTACTGTAGTCGCTTGTCAGATTTCAGGTTATCCAGGACTAGTAAATTGAAGCGGGCTTGAGTACCGTGCCAAGCAACGAGAACTTGGGTGTTTACCCGTGCAGTGACGGCAGAGATACCCAGCGATGGAATGTACTCAGAACGGCAACATGTGTATGCACCCGGACCCACTCAGACCCACTCGCGCAGCTACGCTCGTGCGCTCCTGGGCCGCTCGTGTAATCAGCTGTTCGGCCTGAGGCAGTCCATTTTTGTACGTCATGATTGGTCTTCTGAGCTCTAGTTGTCTGAGTACGGTCGTGCACGCCGATCTTGTAAACTATAGTATCTACGCAGGATGGAGGAGAGATGTTGAGCAGCTCTTGCGCATCGCGACACGGCAAATATGTCGTTAGCTTTTGTTTTAACGAAGTTTTTGGCAGTGAAACGGGCTGCGTTGATTGGCGGCGCTTGCTGTGGGATGGACTTTACTTCATTGTGCTCACTATGTGCCAAACACACCTGCAGCCAGGTCCACTCGGTGGGCCACTTGTCACGTCAAGTCTGAGAACTCTGGTGAGGTCCGACCTTTGGTTCTCAGACTGGTGACGTCTGATACGCACGAGAAGATACAGACTATGCGACATGCAGCCCACAATCTCTTGCATGGGGAACCACTAGAGCTAGTGAACAGACACGATCGATATATTTACGGCTGCAAGGACACGACGTCGAATTGTTGATTGTCGTTGGGCTCAAAGCACGTCCACACCTGCGCTTCGTGGCTCTCGTTGGTCGGGTCGACGTCCAAGCACAGATTGTCGTGCGTCGCGTGCTTGATCTGGCCGTTGCCGACGATCCACTTTTGGTTGGCGTTGTTGGCGTCGCACGCGTACGTGTGGAGGCGGTACCGTCCGTGGCGGTGGTCGCGGTACGCGTCCAAGCACTGCTGGTTCTTGACCGACTTGATCGACTGCGTCACTGCGTCCACCTCGAAGAGCTCGTTCAAGTTGCCGCGCCACACATCCGCAAAGAGGCCCGTGTTCCACTCGGAGAGGTACTTGCCGCGCTTGGTGCGAATCTGCACGGCCTTGCTTGGGCGGGTAGGGCTAGGGCTAGGGCAAGGGGTCGGCTCTGGCGTCATCGGTGTTTCGGTCGTCGGTGCAGGCGAGGGTGTTGTCGGTGTCTCCGTCGTCGGCGCCGGGGTCTCAGCTGTTGGTGCAGGCGTCGGTGTCGGCGTCGATGGCGTCGGCGACGGAAGGTCCCCGACGACGGCATCGTTCGGGAGCGACACGTTGTTTGCCCGCAAGTAGGCGAGAACGTTGTCGATGCGGACACCACCGTTGGTGTGTCGCGTGCAGCCGTCGTCGCTGCCACAGTTGTGGATCGCTACCACCGTGTTGTCGAGCGTGGTCAGAATTGGAGATCCGGACGAACCGCCTTGGGTGTCGAGGCGGTGACCGACAAAGTCTTGGTCGAGTACGTCAGCATAGTCGCACGACTTCTCGGTCAGCGACGTGATAGTACCAAGCGCGTCATCGTCGGTAACAATCGCGAGGCGCTGCGGCCGCCCGGATGGGTGTTGCGGAATGTACACGGTCTCGTTCAAGACAGGCCCCGACGCGCGGAGCTGCAAATGGCCGTAGGGCGCAAGGTCCACCGTCGTGTTGAGCTGCACAAGAGCAAAGTCATGGCGCTTGCTCGAGACGAGCAAGTGGACGCTCGACGCCACCTTGACGCCTTCGCACTTGAGCGCGCGGTCGTTGCGCGCGTCGTCGCAGCTCGGGCACATTGCGCCAAACTCAACTTGGACGTTGGCGGCCTTGGCTGCGTCTTTAATGCAGTGCCAGTTGGTCATCATATGACCCTTGGAGCCCACGAGCCAGCCCGTGCAGAGGAAGCGGCCGCCAATGACGAGCCGCGCGACGGCCTTGCTGGCTTTGAACTTGGCGCTTTCCGACTCGGCGTAGCACATCGATGGCTTCGAGTCGTCCTTGCCGCACACCGATTCGAGCTTGGACGCGGGCTTGCCAGTGATGAAGTGGTCGATCTCAAACTTGGCCGCCGTCTCGTAGGAAGGCGCCGTGTACGTGACGCGGACGCTATCCGTAGCGAGGGTGGCCGAGAAGAGATCGGTGTGGCGGCCCTGATACGACACTTCTTGGGCGCCGTCCAAGGACGCAATCTTGAGGGTAGCACCGGCCGGAAGGTCCATCGACACAAAATGCACCGAGATGAAGGAGGCGCCGGTGCGCTCGATGAGCTGCGAAAACGGGGCCGACCCGTTGCCGTAGATGTGCAACGGGTACTCGAGGCCGAGGTCCAACGGGTCCACCGCAACAGCGGCGGCCAGGCACAGCGCGAAGAGACGAGCAACCAATGTGGGCGCCATAATAGAAGAATGGGAATGAAAAGCCGGGTTTCGAGTCGAGATCTAGTCACGTGGCGTGTCGCAGTATATTCGAAAGTCATTACAGAGGGTGCCGAACGAGACTGGCATAAACGCGTCTGTTTTCCGCGACCTTGACATGCGTGGTGCTAATGTGAGCCTAGGAGCTCTTTCTAAATGACATTATCCTGCTCAAGACTAGCGAATACGATGCGACCAATGCAAGTCCGAGGTTCCTGCCACTGGCTCAGCGCCCCTCTCACCAGAGCTCTCACCAGTGTAGTTCGACTGCAGACGCCATGAGGTTCCGCCGCAAGGTGATGAGGACAGTGTCCTCATCACCTTGATTGCACTTTGCCAAGGACACCGAATGGTCCACGCTCTTCAAGACCCGAGCCTGCCTTGCGTGTGCGAACGAGCAAGTAAGTGCATACATTGCGCAGGTATTCTTGCTGTGGCCGCGCTGCTAGTATGCAGTGGAGTGAGCCTTGATGCGTTGTCCGAGCCCCGTGTCCAAATTCCCTATTGCGCGATTTTCATTTTCGCTACACTTCATTGGTCAAATTAATTTTGAATTTCAACCAATCCGATACGACTAACGGTTGGTGTGGCCGATGGCAGGTCGACTGGGTCGGCCGAATCGCTCTGAAATCGACATCGCTCGTACCCTGCATGTGGACAGAAGACGCTTTGGCGAGCTCATTGCGCTACGACACGTTGCCGGGCGAGGCATGGAGCCCAAGCAATCGCGGCCCCAACTAATCGTGGCGTATGCCACATATAACCACACTTGACCAAAACTACGGAATCGTCGTCGCAAGTGAGCAAAATGTGAGATGTGAGCACGAATTTCATTCATTCATTCTCATCATCTACGTCGTATGTACATATAGTGGGTGGTACGGCCGTCGAGGCTTAAAAGACGAGCACGTCAAACTTCTGGTTGTCGTTGTTGTTGCCGCAGTCCCAGACCTGCACGCGGTGGTTCGAATCGTTCGGGTCGACGTCCAAGCACAAGTTGGCGTGCGTCGCGTGCTTGATCTGGCCGTTGGCGATGATCCACTTTTGGTTGGCGTTGCTTGTCGAGCACTCGTACGTGTGGAGGTGGCCGACGCCGTTGCTGTCCTTGTACGCGTCCCAGCACTGGCCGTTGTTGCTGACGCTCTTGATCCACTGGTTAACGTTGTCGAGTTCAAAGAGCTCGTTGGCGTTGTTGCGGCCGACGTCAGCGTACAAGCCGGCGTTCCACTCGGAAATGTACTTGCCGCGCTTGGTGCGGATCTGCACGTAGCTGCGCACGTTCTTGTCGTTGCAGCTCGTCGAGAAGCGCTGGCGAATATCGTTCGGGTCGCACGCCGCCAGCGCCACGTCGTTCTTGCCCGCGATCGACGTCAAGCACACGTTGTGCGTCTTGTGGACGATCTGGTTGTTAGCGACCGTCCACTTTTGGTTGCCGATGGTCGCGTCGCACGCCCACGTGTGGAGCTTGAACCCGGCGTCGGCAGCGTACGCGTCGAGGCACTCGCCGTTGCTCTGCACCTGGAGCGCACCGGACGCTTCGTTGTAGACGAACAGCTCGTTCTTGTTGCCCTTGGGCGTGTCCTGGTAGAGACCCTGGTAGTACTCGGAGAGGACGCGGTTCGAGATCGAGCAGAACGAGATCGTGTTGGCCGGCGTCGGCGACTGGGTCGTCGGTGTCGGTGTCGCCGGCGCGGTCGTCGGCGCGGACGTCGGCGCGTCACTGGTCGCCGTCGCGTCCTTGGGCAGCGGGATGTTCTTGGACGCGAGAAACTCAACAATACGGTTCATCTTGATGCCGCCGTTGTTGCAGCCACCGCAGTTGTGGAGGGCAACGACGACGTTGTCCTTGGTGCTGATCATCGGCGAGCCCGACGACCCGCCTTGCGTGTCGAGCTGGTGGCCGACGTAGTCCTTCTCCGGGATTTCCGTGTAGCAACTGCCGCTGCTCAAGTCGACGATCTTGCCGGGCGTGTTGTTTGCGGTCACGAGCGCCATGTGCTGTGGGTTGCCCTTCGGGTGCTGCGGGATGTAGATCTCTTCGTTGAGGACCGGGCCGGACGGGCGGACCTGGAGGTAGCCGTACTGCTTGAGGTCCACGCCGTCCTTGAGCTTGAGCTTCACAAGCGCAAAGTCGTTTTTCTGGTCCGAGACAATGTACTCGGCATCCGACGCAACAAGGTTGCCCTTGCAAGCAAGCTGCTTGGTGTTGTTCGGGTCCTCACACGTCGCGCACTTGGCAGCAAACTCGACCTGAACGTTCTTGGCGTCGTCGGCCGTCTTGATGCAGTGCCAGTTGGTCATCAGGTGGCCTTCCGAGCCAATGAGCCAGCCCGTGCAGAGCGACCGGCCGTTGATGAGAAGACGCGCGACAGCCTTGCTCGTGTCAAACTTGGTCTTTTCGTCTTGAGCATAGCACTGCGACGGCTTGGAGTTGTCCTCACCGCAAATCGACTCGAGGACGTTCTTGGGGCCGCCAGTGCCCGAGATAAACTTGTCAACCGCAAAGACACTGCCGCTCACCGTCTTCTCGTACGACGGCGCCGTGTACGTAAGGACAACACGGTCGGCGTCGATCGTCGTCGTGAAGAGATCGTCGTGCTTGCCGGTGTACGACACCTTTTTGCTGCCGTCGAGCGATGTGATGGTAATGGACGCTCCCTCCGGAAGGTCCATCGAGGTAAAGTGAAGCGAGATGTACGTCGCGCCGGACCGCTCGATGATCTGGCTCACGGGCTTTGAGCCATCGGCGCTAAATGCGAGCGCGTTGTCGGCGCCAATGTCGAGCGGGGCGGGCGAGGCCATGGCGGCAACAAGCAGCGCGCTCGTGAGTGTGGCCAGTCGCATCATGTTTGTGCTGCTTGGCGTGTACCGAAGGAAAAGGTAAAGTGAGCGATTTGTGGAAAGGGCGCGCTGCGGGACACGCGCTATTGGCCCGAGCGTTACTGCCCGACAACATGTGTTCTCTGGCACTTGGTGATGTCTGGTATTCTGGCGCTTTCTGAGTTTCGGTTGCCACAATTTCTGGTCAGATTCAGATTCGAGGCGCCGCCGCCTTGCCGAGACGAGCGCGTGAGGCAGCAGTCGGCAACGAGGATGACGACCGCGCAGAGTACGCTGCACACGTCGACGACCGGGAGCGACGTGGGTCGTTTGAGAAATGCATCTGGATACCTCTCAGAGTATGTACCATTAGCATCTGGGTGCGCGGAACGCTTACGCAGCGCGTGCAACCGGATCGAACGGGTCTGGCTCTTGGTCCGATGCATATACTCCCACGTGCCAGCTCCACGTGCCCAGTATTCTCCGCTGTCTCGGCTCGCATACGAGCAACTGAGTTCCCTTGCATACGAGTCTCAGATGCGAATCACTTTTCTCTAAAAGACATTTATGCAGGATTCTCTAGACAATCACCTTAGTTTAGACACTAGAACCGTTGGTTCTACAAGGCGCGTAGAGGTGCCCTCGTGATGCCACGTAGTTTGCAGAATCTTCCGAGAAACCACGCGCGCTTCGTGTCCGACGGTGTGACAATGAGACCGCAACGACCGTGCGCTCTACGGTCGGCTCACGATTCGTACGGTAGTACTTGGACTCTGACGCGTGGACTTGCCCACTCGGTCGTAACTTCGTCGCCTTCGTGGATACCAGTCCTAGATCAGGTTTCCAGACTGCGGATCTCCAAAACCAAGCTCGTGAGTTCCGCCACATGCAGCCGTGGTCGAGGACGCTACATCGAAACCCCAAACGAGACGCAGGAGGACACACCGCTGGCCGCACGATGGGCAACGTTGGAGGCGCTCCGACGACGACGACTGCCCATTTAGCCGGCTAGAGAAGGACGCATAGTACAGGCGCAATCGCGATGGAAGAGACGCTGAGCGTTTGCATGAGATGCCAAGACGTCCCAGAGTACAACACTCGACGAGCGTTTGCACGAGATGCCAAGACTGTCCCAGAGTACAACACTGGACCACCCGTCCGCCGACGGTGCTAGTGTAGCCCACCTCCCTTCGTGGCAAACGACCGCACGCCAAGCACACTGGAGCCACTGCCTGGCACGCCTGTCACCTCGCGTCGTCGTCGCACTAAGGATGCGGTCGATGGAGGCGCTGGCGCGTCACCTCGTCGCTCCTTGCGGGCTGCCTGCCAAGCTGCTCCTGCGCGTGGGTCATCACGGCTTGGTGCGCCATCCGCAGCTGGTGGTGGCGCTAGAGCTGTTGGCCTTTCTGTCAAGGTGCGTTGGTCACGTGCTTCTTCAATGTGGCAGTAATGACTCGTACCACTGCGCCTTGCGTCGCGCCACGACAGCGTCATGGGCCACGCCACTGCTGCTCGGAGGAAGAAACCAAGCGCGATGATACTCGGTGGTCGATGGCCGCCCAGATCGAGCTAGTACCAATCACTCGAGTGTGCTGAGAATGGCAGGCGCGTCAGAGCAAAG